TGTTTAGTTTTTCATCTCTCTGGTGGAAATCTTTTCCTTGTTTCTGTTTCTAAATTCAAAGCAGTTACTTAATATAAATCTGTATGGTCGATTGGATACACAGTAATAGTGAAAACCTCAACTAGTTCATTACTAACTACATTTTTAATAGATTGAGCTCATTATGGCTGTTGGAGATATCAAGAATCAAATTGGGGACCTTTGTACACGCAAGGCATTTTAGTAACTCAGTCCTGCATTTAGTCTTACAAAATCATCAAGACACAATTTATAAGGATTTGCCTTGTACTATACCTGAGAGGAATTTGTTGGCAGTCTTCAAAATAATGCCAATTGAAATATTTAGCTAAGGATGTCAGAGTCAAGAGTAAAAGCATCAACTCTACCCCTTACATTCTGCTTGTTTTATGACTGCTGTTAAAAATAATGAGTGTGTGTGCATGTGTCAGGGCAAAACACTGATGTTAAGTTCATATGATCTTAGTATGAAGGTGGTGAGTAGGAGCCATATATTATATAATTTTATTCCAGAGTTGTCATAAACTTCAGGGCAAAAATATATATTTTATTGTTTATAAAAATGAGGCTGATTTAAATGAAGTATGGAAAAAGCTGCTTAAGACACTTGTCCCCCACAAGTCATTAATAATGTTAATCTGCTGTTTCATAATATTCAAGGTCTTTATTATACAAATACAAAATCCACAAGGGTTAAGGCTGAGCCCTAATCTATCCTCTATTAATATAATAATAATCAACAGGTTGAAGGTATCTTGAAATTTCAATTCTCAATGGTCAAATGAGAATCTATTAAAATGTTTTTCAATTTCAGTTAGGACTGCTACAATATAGATAACTAAACTAAGCTAAACTAAAATGTGATTGATTTGTTTTTTGGTTACGGTAATTTCCTGTCAGAAACTATACCATTTAATCATCAGATTATAGGTAAATAACCAGGGGTGGGATTCAATTTTTTTAACAACTGATTCTGTGGGGGTGGTTTAGTTGGTGGGCATGGCTTGGTGGTCATGTGACTGGCTGGGCGGTGGCCAACTCAATATCACTCACATCTAGGCACACATTGCCTGACATCTCATGACTGTGGGGATGCTGCAACAGTCGTAAGTGTGAAAAATGGTCGTAAGTCACTTTTTTCGGTGCCATTGTAACTTTGAATGGCCACTCCACACAAGCAAAGTACCAGCAAAGGAGGGAAAAAAACCTCCAGAGAAGTTCCAGAGACAGGAAGTCTAGTCCTGCCAAGAATGTAATAAGGGTTAATGGAGAGGCAGTTTCTGTAAGCAACACCAGAATGTTTCCTTCCTGCCTTCCTTACAGGATTAGGCCAGTAATTTCTTCTAACAACCGGTTCTCCGAACTGCTTAGAATGTTAACAACCGGTTCTAGCGAATAGGTGTGAACTGGTAGAATCCCACCCCTGTAAATAACCCATAGCTCAGAACAATTTGTTTACCTAACCAAAAAAATAATGGTGGATTTCCCCATTTGTGAGATTACACAATCCAAATTTTTATTTAGACAATTCGAATTGTTAAAACAAAGTACGGAATAATGCTGGCCCTCGGGAAAGATGGAAAGTATTATCATTCAGGAAAAAGAAATTGTTTAGGTTGTTGGAACTCTCATGGAAAATATTAGGGCTTATATCAGCAAATCCTATAATCTGTACTGTTAGTCATGAAATGGGTGTATAAACAAAGTGGTGTAATATACACTGATACTTGAGGGATGTGCAACCACCTAGCCAGATGCATAGCAGGAAAAGCGAGTAACAGGAAGGTGCATCATTACTTCATCTCTATGTCTTGCAACAACGCCTTCTGCCTTTCTTTTCTCTCAATATTTTGGCCTGCGGTATCAGTAAAAAAACATGAATATCTTCATTTATGTAAATAGAGACACCAGAGGCTCAGGGAGTAATGGTTCATTCAAGTACTTTTCCTGTAATTGTACTCCAACTTCAACTCATCACTGTGCTTAAACATTTGCAATAGGCAGGAATCATTCTGTATCTGTTTCTAGAAGATAAAGCAAGGAGTAACTTGTGGTATCCTAAAATCCACCAGTGAACTGTAAAACTTCTTCAAGCAATTCATAATTGAACTCACCTCATGGATGCCAGCAGGACTCATTGATGAGTAAGCATGTTTAGAATTCTAACTTGTCACATGTCTTCCTTGAATATTTCTTTAGAATTAAAGAGAAGACACGCCCCCTTTCTTATGCTCTTGCCACGGCCAATTCAAGGCTTGTCATAAGTATCTCTGAAAGGGCCGTTCTTCACACTTGATAGACTAGTATGAAATGTAAGTATACTACTGTGCATTGTTTTTTTCATATGCTACTGTACTAGATTTAGACTTAGTTTGGATTTCTTTCAATCTCAGAAAGCAAAGACACACACAAAAGAAATAGTGACTTTTTCTTTTTATTCTTTTGCTAGATCTTAATTTTCATTGATTAATTTTCATTGATTCATTAAATGAAAATGTCCTAATGTTATATTTATATGGAAAACAATCTAATTTTCTTTTCTTTTTTTAATGGAATTTTCGGCCACCTGTTGTTCAGTCATTCAGTCATGTCTAGTTTTTTATGATAAAATGACATTTCAGCAGGATAGACAGTCAGTAACTGTTACTTTGAGTTTTTGGAAGTGCTTGTTTATTTCACCCGTTGTAGCATTGAACCACTTTGTCTTCTGAGCTCTCCTTTTCAATTGCCTTCAGCTTTCCTATTATTAGCATATTCTCCAGTGGCTGTTGTCTTCATTTCAAGTGTCTCAAAGACTTTTGCTTCTTTATTAATGATTCCACTGTAGATTTTAGCTTTTCTCTATCTTTTCTTAAATAATTAATTCTTGCAGCTCAAGGTACTGTATTCTTAAAATTGCCTCCAGTTTCACAATTCCAAAGCATCATTTTTTTTTCTTCATTCTGCCTTTCACAACATTCAGCTTTCACAGTAATAAGTTACAGTCATAACAATATGTGGTTTTGTAATCAATATGATATCCCTGCAATCAATCAATCAACATTTTTGTCTATGCCTTTAGTAAAGAAACAGACATCTGTTTATTCCATGGATACAGTCACCATGTAAATGTTTCAGTACATGAGGGGGGGGGGGGGGGGAGAGAGCGCAACAGGATGCTTTTTTGTACTTTTCTACTTTAACAAGAGATTCCTTATGTCTTTCTTACCATCAAAGTGGTATCATCAGAGTATCTGAGATTACTAATACACTGAATTACTGATTTTAATTCTAATTTCTATTTCTTGTAGGTCTGCATTTGTCATTACATATTCCACATATAAGTTAGTATATAAACTTGGTAAATTCTTAAATAACTCTCTTCTCTTTTCCATGTAATCCTTATACTGAATTTTTTTTCATTGCTTAAATATAAATCCCTGCCACTTCATTTTCTCTAGAACTCACATTTTGTTTAGCAAATTTTCCTACATACATGCACACATATTTTTTATTGTGGTCACTGACCACAATATAACTATCAACAGCAGGTAGAACAGAATACAACTGTGTGTGACTAATGACTAGTTCATTGATATAATCAAAGTAGACCTAATTTTGCAGAGAGAATAATGATATTTGCCCACTGTAGAAACTCAGTCCTACTCGTCTGATATTAATAACTCTGTGTAGAATATATTGAGGTTGCCAGTTTATTCTATACATTATTTTATTTCCAGTTTCTCTAGACACGTTTATCAGTCTAATTTACTTCCATCTATTCATCACATAATCATAATGAATATTGATCATATTTCATTATTTTGTTTTCTCTGTTCTAAGTTGTTCTTTTAGGTGTTTGTAACCCACATTGTGTTCTTTTTTTGCTGACTGATGACACTAGAGCTTCCATTTTTGCTTGTAATATGTGTAGATAATTTGATTTTGGGTTTGTCTGTCCAGTGGAGATCTTGTGTAATCTCTTAGGTTGATATAGGAAAGTATTTGCTAAAAACACTGCATCTTTTTTTGGCAAAACTGTTATTTGTCCCCTATTCACTTTCAAATACCAAGGCCAAATGTTCCCATTACTCCAGAAGCTATTTTACTTCCACCTTTAGCATTCCAGTGCCCTATATTTATTATGGCATCTTTTCTGGAGTAGTGTCAATAAGATGTTGCAAGTTATAATGGAATTGTTCAGCTTCCACTTCCTTTGTATCTGTGGTTAGAACATATACTAGATCACTGTAACAGTGATTAGTTAGCCTTCAACTTGAATCGAGAGGATCTATCTTTTTGAGACTGTGTCCAAACATTTGTACATATTTACCTGTTTACACATTTATATAACCAGGTATCTACCCAGGAAAAATGGAAATCAGAATTTTTTTAAAAATCATCCAAATTTTACAAATAAAAAAAGAAACATTTGCATACTTTTTAAATAATAATAATTAGTTGGTTTTTTCCCCCCTGTGATTTGATGGGATCTGCAGAGGGTTCCTTTGATGGGAATTCCAATATATTTCAGTTCTTTAATTCCTAAAATGTTGATATGCAGTCTTGGCATATGTTGATATGCAATCTCCTAATGCCTCTGGACTCATCACATCTAGATGTCCATTCAGCTTTAATGATGTCACTGTAAAATTATCAGTGCTACTTGCCCCCTACTTTTCCCTGGTTGATTGTTCAATATCTCCCAACACAGAGGGTGGCTAATTTTCTAGTATCAGGCTGGCATTGCCTTGGCTATAAATGTCTATTTGGTTTCTTAACACAGTACTGTTAAGTATTTGAAATAATATTCAAATAATATTAGAAAAAAAATCTCGAACATAAAGATGCTTGATTGGAGCATTGAACTGCTTTTTTGAAAATAACATGCTCTGCTTTGAATAAGCCAGTTTATTGAGACAAGATACCTCCTATCAAATCTGGTACCAGAGCAGTGCTCCAAGAAGCTCAGCAGCTCAGGCCAAGTCTCTCTGGAGTTGGAACACCAGCACTCCTCCTTTTCCCCTGCTATCACTTGCTGTAAATAAAACAAAAACAAAACAAACAGGACTTCCCGGGGTGAGTTTTTAAGCATGAAGACTCCTCCAAAACAAAGGCTGCCCCATCCACAGTTAGCAGGTATGCAAATGTGCTTGTCATGATTTGAAATGATACAAAACTGTTGGTGATACTGGGGCTAAGAGGCTATTAGGAGGCCCTGATGTTCTGCTGTATTGATTTTATTTGTTACAACTATTTCTATCCTGCTTTTCAAAGCAATGTTCTTCCTGATGCAATATAAGCCATTAGAAATAGAAATAGAATATGACTCCTCTCAAAGGACAGTTTATGATGCCACCCTTACAGGAAGGAATATATTCAACTTTTATTTCCACGATTGTAAGTGTTTGTGGAAGTGGCAGGTGGGGGAAGGGACAAATGACAAAACATACGTGGGTATGTCACAATACCTTCCTGTGACTTACCTGCTTGCTTTTTGTGCTCTTCCTAAATGCCCATTTAAATTTCTTTCCATTCTCACTTTTCTTATAGCATTTATTTGTTGGTTTGTTTATCAGACTTTAGATGCCTCTTACAACATAAACTCTGGGAACTTGTACTCCTAAAAATATAAACAAACAAACAGTTCCCAGATAAAAAATATAAACTAGGAACAACATACTGGATGAAATGAAATATAGAGCATCACGAAGGCTAGCCACCTAAATTCCCAAAGTCCAATCAAAGTGGATTGAACAGAAACAAGCCATTTCTACAAAAACCACATAAATCAATTCTTCCTTCCTGGCTTACAATATTAGATATTCTACATAATAAACCACTGACTGAGACCCAACAGAGAGCATCTCCATACACTCTATCAATAGAATAACCATTTTTTCTCATTTTCTAGGGAGTACTGAAAGCTACGGGTAGTGAGTTCAGTTATTTTCCCAATCTATGCAAATTACCATTTGCAGCACCCTTTGGACAAAAAGTCTTGAAGGTAAATGGACACAAAACTGTATTTTAAGTAAGAAAGATAAAATGTATTGACTTTTCCGATCAAGGATGACTAGCAGTCACTGAAAGGGGCAGAATTTTGTGATATTCTTTTCCTTTTCCATCTTTCAATTTCAGGAAAGTTGAATGCAATGCTTATGACAAACCTTAGTCCTTACCACCTCTTTGCATCCGGAAAATTTTTTTTTGTGTACCTCTGATGAATTATCTTCTGGTTTTATCTGACCATAATTATCTATGACAACATTATATTTAAATTAATAAATCATCAGGAATGAATTGTAGAGCTGCAGTGTCCCACAACCCAATCTACCACATTTGCAGACTGTAAAGCTGGAGTGAACTTCAACAGTTTTGAAGGGAACACATCTATGCAAAATAGTCACCATGTGGAGATAATTTCAAATCCCAACTGCTGGTAATAATACTTTTGTTCCATTATTCTTTGTACTAAAGAGCTCAGAATGACACCACACCAAAAAATATTGTTGGGGTCCTAAAGTTGATATAACGGATAAGGTATTTATAAAATAAGTTTGGCATAAAATAATTATCATTTCTGTTCTTGTAATGGGATATGGTGAGACACCACACACACACACACCCAATTTATTACATATTATCATCAGTGGTTTGGAATAGTTATCAATTTGACATCTGCTGTTCCAGTGGCATGGTATCCACGGGCAGGAAAATGCCGTATCAAATCAGTGAATGGCATTTCCCTGGAAGAGATTCTTGGTTTCCCACCTTCTAGGACAAGGGTCTTCAAACTTGGCAAGTTTAAGACTTGTGGACTTCAACTCCCAGAATTTCTGAGTTTACATGACTGGAGGAGAAATTCTGGGAGTTGAAGTCCAAAAGTCTTAAAGTTGTCAAGTTTGAAGAGCCCTGTTCTAGGACGTTGGTAATAGCATGATTAGGTTAAGAAACCAAACCCAAAATTACTGCTAAACTAGTTATGGGCATCTACATATTACAAGAGATGGAGCTTTGATTACATTGTCCCTTTTTCCATCTTGACTTTTTTTGACACTGTCTACCTCAATACCATCATTAGGCATTTGAAAAGCAATGTGAGTTTGTCATAGTGATTAACACAGAAACTTTAGGAACACTTGTAATTCAGTTTATTTTTTGTGATAGGAGGGAAAATGACATGTGTACATACAACTCAGAGGAGGCAAAGTGAAGCACGGAGTTACTAATAGGTGCTTCACTGGGCACAAAGTCGGTAAAGCCTTGTCACTGATCTTATCTGATCAAGGAAATGGTGAAACAAAAAAGGGACTAGAAGATGATATAATTTCTTAAACATTTCATTACCATGTGTCAGACAATTTTGTAAAGGTTCTCTGGCTCCTGGATTTTGATGATTCTAGGCATAGTGATGTTCATTTGGTGATGACTTAAACCTGTGTCATTTTGTTTGTTTGTCTGAAAAACCTTTCCTGGTTCATGAAAATAAATAAATAGGCCTATTAAAAGTATGCTTCATTATAAGAACTAGGAAGTTTATCTGGAATTTCACAACTATTTGGCTAAGGTCGCTACAATATTATCTTCCTGGAAGCACAGACACTATACTGCTCAACACATTTTTAATTTAGTTTCTTGCAGCTATTATTTTGGCTGACAAATATTTATGGATTCTATAATATGTAAAACAGTGGGCTGTGCTGATTTTGTTGACTGGCTCAATCACAAGCCTCACACACAGCAAACACTCCCATTAAACTCTAATAATACCAAAGGAGGAAGATGAGTTGCTAGCAATAGCAGAACTGAATCATCCAGGATGTTCCCACAATTCCTCATGGCCAATGATAACTCCTATTTGGACCTCACAAAAGGGATCCAAAATAGTCCATGGAAGGAAGTGCCTTGCTGTCCACATTCAAAAGTAAGATTTGACATAGAGTCAGAAGAGTACATGATACAAAACAAGTGTGGAGACCAGACAGGAAGAGAGCAGGTGAGATGTTTGATAAGAAAAGGGATGATTCCAACTGGAGCTGCAGTGTATACTGAGCAGGCTGCCTCACTATGATCTCTTCCCAAGGCATCTATGGCCTTGGGAAGCTGTAAGTGTAATATTTACTTATTTCCATATGTGGCTTATTTCTTAATAGATTTCTTACTAGATAAAACCATTGGGATTTGGGGGGTAATTCTAAACATAAAAATTAGAGTTTTGAGTTATTACAATGAATGGATCTCTGAATCTACATGTGGCATAAACTGATATTTGACTTAACAATTTCAGTGATGTTGATGAGAAACATATTATTATTGTCAGGATCAGACAATGTATCTGAAAAACAGGGATATGAGAAATAAACATGTCCTATCTTATGAGGAAATGGTTTGTCCGTATTAAGTAAAAAAAAAAAGGGACGGGGGAGGAAACATGTAGGTACCAAGAACAAAGTAATTCTTTCCAGGAGTTTTCTATGTTGAGTGATGTGATGGGAGTGTATCTACAGAGGGAGAGATGGTGTGATGGGCTACAATGAAGTGGCACATTGGGGGGAAGGGGTAGAACAGAAAGAGCATAGTCCAGAGCTGGATTTTTTTTTAAAAAGGAAGAGATCAAGCGTAATTATTCACTAGCATCTCCCCAGTTTATATCTGTTAGAGTTCAGAGTTTTATAGGTTTAGTTTGGTAAGATTCTGTCTATATTGTGTTAGCAAATTATTGGATTGTTCCGTGTTATTTTTAGGCTTGGCTTGACAGTATTGGTATTCTAGAAATTAATATTTTTGATATAAATCTAGCTTCTGATTTCACAGAACATGGGAAGACAAATCATTATCATGAATTAAGTTTCTAGACCTAAGGAGCACTTTGAAATAATCTAATGGTTTGTAATTGGTAGCACAAATTTGATAAGTTAAGTCCTCTTTATTTATTACATTTACATTTTTTTTCTTTCTGGACTCTAGGCATTATAAGTTAGGGTCTTCCCTAATTTTTGCTCCACAATTGTGTAAATTGGACGCAGGGGTCAGTTGGAAAAGGTGCTTATCACTCTTTCTACTGTTTGCCCAGTCACCCAGTCCTAATTTTCACATCACACTGGCACATGTCTGCTATTATAATTGCTACTAAAGCAATACTTGCATTTCACATGCAGTTCCTTGAGAAAAAGATAGTAGAAGAAAAATAATTTGTGGATATTTGGTGTGCTTCTCTTATCCTAATGGGAAGTAGTCAAACAAGTACCTGAATATTATTTTGTTTTTGTTTCTGCAGCTCAGATGATGTTATAAAATGAATGTCAATCCCACGGAAGTCAAATCTGTTCTGAAGAGTTTGCTATCTATCTATATGCAAGACAGGGAAAGGAAACTGAATTATACAAACCCATCTCTTGTACAGCAGGAAGAAATCTCGGCTTCCCTATACATCCTGATTATTATTGGGTTTTTTGGTTTTCTCCTTTTCTCTATGATGCTCAGCAATATTGTTCTCAGGCAGAGGGAAAACTACATGGATTACCTCTTCCAAAATAAATTTCCAAGAAAGAGGATAAGTTCCTGCAACAGCATAATGGTACATGCTGGAAAAGGTGTTACAATAGAAGCTAACACAGATTGCCAGTGCCAAAAGACCGACAGTTGCCCAATGGCAGAAATTCCGAGCATGGAATCAGTGCAGAAAAATGTATGAAGGTGCAGTATCATGACCTATTTTTAACTATGGATGATTTTGTTGCCATCTAAAGTATTAGATCTGATTGCACTAACTTGGGCCATTCCTGGCAAGCCTCATTTGGAGCAACCTTTCTATCTACTGTGCAAGAAAAAAATTGTTTCTTTCTAAATTGCATTATAGTTTTCCTATTCTAAACTCCCTTGAGTTTCCACTAATAGTTTGGTAATCCAGTTCAAACTTGTATGATTTCTTTATATTCATGCTGATATACGCTTTTGTGATGTGTCCCACGTGGACTAAGTAAGCTATCTTCCTTTTTTTCCCCCTTAATTGTGGGTTTTGTAAAGACTTTTGTTCTTGTAACTGTGTCAATTGTGGAGACCTCCTCACAATCTAAAAGAAATACATAAAGACTGAAAGAGTCAAATCAAGTAAACATTGGCTAGAAATCTAACTTTCCTGCCCTGGTTTATTATTGGCCCATTACCCATAGATAGAAAATTCAAAACAAAGGGAACCTGGAACCCAGAGCTGCAAGTTTTCCCTGAAAATTAGCAGAATCTGAAAATTGTCAAATTGCCATGTTTAATGTGACAAAATAAGGAACTTTATTAAAACCCATGACTAGGGAATAGGCAGGTTAATTATACTGAAGTTTAACTAAATTTAAATGGAAACGAACTGAAGTCAAGTTTAGATTCTAACTTACCATTCAAAAGCTAAGTGTGATCTTCGCCAAGGAAAAGTTATGCATTCCTGGCATTATATAATGAATCCAGGTCATGTGTTTTCTGTACCACACATCACAGGTGGGCTTCAAAAATTTCAGCAGTGGGTTCTCTTCCCAGTTGTTGGGTGGGCATGGCCATGATGGCCATGGCCTTGTTGGCCTCCTGCACCATGGGGGGAGGGGGGGTTTGCCCTCCCCAGGCTCCGGAGGCTTTCCTCGAATCTCTGGAAGGGTGAAAACTGCCTCCCCCAGCCTCCGGACGCCAGAAACGTTTCTGGCCTTCCGGAACTTCTGGGGGGGCCTGTTTTTTGCCCTCCCAAAGCCTCCAGGTGGGCTCTGCACTTACCTCGCATCCAAAACGGGTTGCGTGGAGACTCCTGGGAGGGGCGGAACGGGGTGGGTGGGGTGGGGTGGGTTGGGTGGGGCCAGCCAAGGGTGGGATTTGGCGGTTCTCTGAACCGGCCATAACACTATCTATGGGTTCTCCAGAACCTGGGCAAACCTGTAGCAGCCCACCCCTGCCACACATTGTCAAAACAAAGATGGATTGAGAAGTTGAGGGTGTTCTTTACTGTAGCCCACAATTCTTGTAACACAGTATTTCATTCTAGTGACTGCTTATACATCATCAAGAAGGGGAAGGGGGAAACCACTTTGAAAAGAAAGGATTATAAGTAGACATCATTCTTCTCATGTAGATCAAGAATCCCCAACTTGTGGTCTGTGGCCCATTACCAGGCCATGGGCTAATCACCTTAGGCTGCACGAGGGGCCAGATGGTGTGCGCTGAAATCTGCTGCTACCCTCACTATTTATAACTTATTTACTAAATTCTTTAAACCCTATAGCCAAATTCTCTGGGTGGTTTCAATAAAAGTAAAAACAAAAGCATGTTCAGTACAGTAAAATTCAAAATAAAAACACCCATAAACTATGCAGCTGAAAGCTGGTCAGTCAAAGACCAAAACAATAGAAATTAAAAGGGGATTAAAACATACTTAATATCCAGCTTAAAAGGCAGAGAAAATGAAAAGGCTTCCACCTGAAGTGAAAATGATGCTAGCATGGATGCCAGGCAAGCCCCTCTGAGGAAGAAGAAATTCCATTAATGGAGTTCCATCAGAGAAAAATCTCTCCCTCTTGTAGAGGCCTATCTTACCTCCTTTGGCGATGAGATCTGGAGGGGAACTTCAATGGAAAATTTTAAAGACTGCGTAGATACATATGGGAAATGGTGCTCCTGATCCTAACTTGTTTAACAAGTTGAAGATCAAAAACAACACTTTGAACCTGATCCAGAAATGGACCTGCAGCCAGTATGGATAGCAAAGAACCATCATGATCAATTTATTGACCAGTCCCAGGAAGCAATCTAGCCACCATATTTTGAATTAAAATATTTCTGAACTGTTTTCAAAGGTAGCCTGTTGTACAACACAATAATCCAATCTGAAGTTACCTGAGGCGTGAGTCACTTATTGTGAGAATGTTTTTGTTCAGGTAAAGTTGCAATTGATAAATCATAAATGGCACTCCATGCCACTGAGCCATTCTGGATCTGTAATGATAGTGATGGACCTAGGAATATCCATCCCTTTCAAAGTATGAACATGCTCCTTTAAAGGGCAGATGCTTCCAGGATAGGTATGACATCAGTTAGCTGAACCGATGCATCACTGACAAGCAATGTTTTGGTGTTGCCTGGACTGAATCCCAGTTTATTGGCCGTCATCCATGTCCATTATCCTGCCCAAGAACTGATTCAGAATGCTGAATACCTCATGTGCTTTAGATGAAAAGGAGAAGTAGAACTAGGTGTCTTCTGCATATTGATGTCACCTTAGCCCACTTCCCTGGATGACCTCTGCCGGCCTGAAACTGGACTGAAATGGATCTAGATGAATCAGTCTCAATCAAAAGAGCCTGAAGTGGATGAGCCAGCATCCATTCAAGTACCTTGCTGAGAAAAGGAGTATTGGCCACAGGCATATAAGTTTTCTTTCTCTGAGATCAGATTTGAATTCTTTAGAAATGATTTAGAAATTTTGGTTTCTGAACACATCATTAAACAAAGACAACCTGTGTAGTTGGGTAGCTGTATAGTAAAAGGATAAGAAACCCCAACATTCCATCTTCAATCAGCCTGATGACCTTTGACATTCCATCTCCATTCCATCTTAACAACAGACTTCCCCAGCATTGTCGCCACTCTTCAAGGGGCCATTTTGCCTAACAACTGAAATAACTTCAGATATACAAAGACCTGCCTAGTTTCCCCTAAGTGGCCAGCAAATCAGATCCCTAGGATTTCCTACCATGTAGTTCTCAAACATCTTTACTTTCTCATTTTTCAGAATTCCTCATTTGTGGAAAACAGGCACTCAATGACTATTACAATGAACATGGTTCTTTCTCCTCTGTGTTGGGTTCTGAACTTCTGAATTTTCCACAACAGTTAATATTTTGACTGCTTTTGTGCTTCACAAATGTAGCCTATAAACCATTCTTCTATGTTGGATTTTTTTTTCTTTGATGCTCACTTTTAGGAGACTTTTATAAGAAATTAAGATGCACCAAGGAGTCATTCACTGCACTTAATTGAAAAAAATAAACTTAGCTGGAAAAATTATTCTGAATTTAACACACCCTGTCCCCAAAGGAAAACTAGACGGAAGAAAAAGAAGCATTGCTTAGTAATAGCCAACCTTCAGGCAAATCTTTAGATACATTCTTGCTTTTCAGCAGGGGTGTTTGCAGATGTTTGCATCATTAACCCAGGCCTTTCTTACCAACTGTTACTTCTATTCTTATTAGAAAACGTTAAGATTCTGCCTCATTCCCATCCCTTGCATACCAATCCAGAGGTAATGGTTTGGAGTATAATATTTTGGCTTCCTATCAGGATAAATCATGCTGTTTGTTCCAGTTTACTTTTTTTCAGATGCACTTCACTTTCCCCATCACATTGGACATTTTTTTCAAGTTTTTTTTTCTTAATTTGATGATAGACCTCTACAAACTGAACATAATTTCAGAATTGCATTCAAGAATGTTGTTGACCATTTTCTTGGTAACTATAGAGCATCAAGCTACATTCACACGGTTGACAAACATCTTACAGCATGCAAGACCATTTAGTGCAACATGTTATTGAAGATTCATTTTCTGCATTCACACTTGGATTTCTTACTAGAGGCTATCAGTGACAAGCTTGTTGAAAGGTTTCACCAGGACATTGCCACAAAGGAAAAATGATATTGGGGCAACAGGAATCCATCAATGCTGGCTGATCATTGTTGGACACTGCAGCAAGATGCATTGGAGATTGAATAGAAATGAAATTCAGCAGCAAAACACTTTTAGCTCTGTTGAACTCATGCACCATGTCAAAAACTTTACGTGATTAAATACATTATTGTCATTCAAAGTTGATTTCATATTTTTCAAGATTCCTGTGTGATATAGTCATTCTCTCTGGCCGCACAAACAGATCTTCACACTGCTCATCATTGATAATGTACTGTATCTGATCTATTGACCCACAAAAATGCCCTCCTTAATCTTGGCATCAATTATTCTTGAAAACATTTGTCCCAAATAACAAAAACTTTTGTTTTTCATCAATCCAAGATTTATGTGAGCAGAAGCAAAAATGTCTTTGTCACATCATCAAATGGTTCATGTGCCATGTTTCTTCTGTCCCAGAACCAAATTCTTTTGGGGAGGCCATTTTTAAAAAAATATGTGACTCTCTTGCATGTTTGTTCCATTCGTCTATGCAACAACAGTACTTGGTATATGCAAGTTGCATTCTATGCAGCAGAGCCACTACCTTTAGACCTCCATAGATATTCTAGTTATACTTGGTGTATTGGATGTGCTTTTACAGTAGTTCCATGTTTTTGTATATTTCTTTCATGCGTGCAGCATAGCCAACAGTTACTGAAAGGTGTATATTGTCATTGTGTAAAAATAGGCAGAAGACTTCTATAGAACAGTACATGATAAATTATAGGTTGCTTTCATAATTAGCAGCCATAAACCTATTACACCGAAAAGTGTTCAGGAAGCAAAATCCTTATTGTCCAGCATTATTTATCCATGACACATGAATGCATAATTCAACTTTTGTTTCACTTTTTTTTCTTTTGATGACCCTTTAATCCCTTTATTCAGTGTGGAGTTGGGGCAACTGAATGGAGGTGAGCCTTTATTGGCCGGATGCCCTTCCTGACGCCTTTAGGTTTTTTTTTCTTCCAGTATTACTAAGAAATACAGGCAGTGATATCCATTATGAGATCATCAATATCCCTGGGCATCATTAGAATTTTCTGTGCAGTTCAATTTTGCTAGGAAATCCATGATGCAGCGCATTGTAAATCCACTATTAAAACACATTATTCATCGGAGTTCCCACGACGCTACATCAAGAAAACTATGTCTGCAATATTTAAAAAATTTAAGAACTCTGCACCTTAACGACTACAAGACTATATTTTTAGGTGAAACTGATCTTTCTGAAAGTCTCGTAACAGGAGACAAGTTTCCTTATGAAGATAATCTCAACTGGCCTATATGGACAGTTGTACATGCTGGCAACAGCCAAGGATGGGTACCCTGGAGATACAGAGTATATCTAAGGGATGATTTACCCTTAGGGCAGCAGGACGACATGTTTCAGGAATTCTGTGACTTTCTCTCTATTACTTATGGGAAGTGTGCCATTGTGGTCAAAGAGAAAAAACGCTTAAGGGTGAAGACTGAAGCATTTAACCAGGAAGGGGACATAATCGATCCTCAGGCCATTTCTCACCCCTACTTGTTGAACATCAAACAATGCCCTGAAATTGCCAAGGCTACAGGTCACGAACTTCTTTCAGTGCCTTTTGATTACAACTACTTGCATCCTATGGATGCTGTCTGGTCATCTTTGAAATGGTTTATTATCAATAACCGAAAAGACTTTTCTCTGACATCCTTGGAAAGGACCTATTCATACCAGTGCATCCTCTTCAGTGACCTGATTGGGAAAGGAATAGAGAAAACAAGCCCAACCAAATGGAAAGTGGCTGTTAACAAAGTGCGGAGATGGGAAAATTACTATTTGGATAAGTTTTCCTGACAGCTTCCAGACATTTGTCAAGTGATCTTTGGTTGAAAACTGGCTAATTCATATATTAAACGTGCATTTTCACTTTATAATTCTAGGTCAATGATAATAATAAAAAATAGTTTTAAAAAAACTTTTAGTGTTATAGTATTAGAGTCACATGCCATTTAAGTAGATTAATTTAATTTTGTCATTATGTGGACAAACAGCTATTTGTAAATATGTAGATACTTTGAGGATAGGAAAAAAGAAAAATAAGAACAGTTATTAAGAAATTAATATTTCTTAAATCAAATTACATTAAGTTAAATAACTTAATTTAAAATAAATTTAATTAAGTAACTTATTAAGAAATTAAGTTTTGTTAAATTAAATTACATTAAGTTAAATAAATATATTATTTTAAATAAATTAAAAATTAAGTTAACAATTAAGAAAAACAAAGATGTAATCCATATCCCAAATTCATGAAGATGTACACTTTAATTGGATCACCTTGATTCTCATAACAGTGTTAAAACAAAATTATAAGAGCAAAAAAAATTGATGGGTTCCATTAGAGAGATTTCCTTCTCTTCTAGAATCTTTCCACATTTTCATGAATAACAAAGAAGTAGTCTAAGTCAGTCAAGAGACAGAGGTGGTCACCCCAATAAATAGGTGGGTGAGGGAGAAGTATGGTTAAATCTTTGTTTTTTACAAACACACTTTTCTGAAAACCTTTTCTCTCCTTAAATCTAGTTACAAATTAGAATTCCTGGCCCTTGCCTGCATTGTATTTTAAGCTGACTTATTCTGGTCAAATTTCATCCAATTACACCAAACATCCAATACTTTTTGAGGTGACCAAGAGATTTACGGATTTTATATTTCAGGTTCCTAAAATGAGTACATTTTATTTTTGGTAGTACAATTCAGAAGAATAAAAATAAACGGAAGAGTCCAACCAATGCTAAATAAATCGGGGTACTTTTGTGCTTAAATTTGAAACCACTATTGTGATGCTGAAGTAATAATCAGCCTCAATTATATTCTAGCAATTCATATATTCAAATAGCTTCCAAAGATGTTTTGTGGCTATACCCCTGAAAACACAAAATATGAATACTGTGGTAGAGACTCAAATTCCAAATCGGATGCATTTGGCAGAACATTGGCCACATCCAGGGCATAGTTCCATGGTTTTAAAAAATAAGGCGAAAAACAAATCTATGAGGTACATTATACAAGGAAAATGAATTACAATTAACACAAATTCCCTCTAGAGTTCTCTGTGCTATTGGTCACCCTCACCTCCTTTTTGGTTCCCTTTTTCCTCATTTCAGACTTTCTATGTACCATTTCTCCCCTTGGAGTTATGCTTATACTAAGTTTGCCAGTATCACCCAAAAAGACTTTTCTCTCTTCTGGAAATTGACACATTGGGAGATGCTAGTTTAGCTGGATGAAGGGTTAAATGGGAACAATATTCTTAAAAGACTCCCACATGTTTTACTGTATATCCGTTTATCCAAAAATTTTCTTAAAATAGTGATACTGGTACCCTTCAAATCCATCTTTAGATGGAGAGGATACAAGTGGTTCTTGACGTTTCTGCTATACCAGCAATAATAAAAAGACCTTTTGAATTTAGCAGTAGTCATTTCCAAACATTTACAGGACTCCATTGTCAGCCTATGATATGTTTTTCTATTAAGGGTGACTTTCATCATGGTTAGCCACAGCAAATCATCACATTTCCACAGGATGGCAGTACATGATATTAATGTGCCACAGACCTTTGTGTTCTAGTGCAAGCAGTGCCTCTCATTCTTGATTCATGTTTAAGCGGGGGGGGGGGGGGAATTGGCAACATAGGTTCTTCCAAATGTTGTCCAGTTGTTTTCTCAAAAGCCCTAGCTAGGATGACTGATGAGAGTTGCTTTCAGCAACATCTGAAAGCTGGTCCATGGACTTCTCTCCCAACTTGTTAATTAAAACAAAATAAATTGGATAGCAGAGATCAGTTTTCTCAGCAGCAAATGGAAGAATATGTCTCCAAGCTACAAAAAGAGAAATGGTCATATTGAATGCAAATGGAAATTTAAAAAGAGCCAAAGTAAAATTCTTTTCAGATTCTCAATATGAAAGCTTGTCTCCCAATTGATGCACTTTGTCTGGAAACAGCAGAATTATAAAACAAATATTCAGCATCTCCCATTTTCATTCGTATAAAATGTACCTGCTGATATGACTTGTACTCTGTGCAAATTTAAAGTACTTTTATAACTAATCTGGCTCCAAGAATAACTCAAATCATCACATTACATTTAAGTGGCTTCTTAGTTTAAACATGAAGATTAAAACTGAACCTAATGAGCCTTATACAGTAACAGTAGGGTCATTATTTCACTTGTATAAAAGGGGCAAAGGAAGAAGTTTGTAAAAAATCTGCTAAGGCAATATATCATCTCCCATTGAGAGAACTATCTCTCTTGGTTATTAGAAAATGAGCTATGAATTAGGTAATTTAAAATGTATTAGGGCAATGCAAACAATCATACTCTTTTTAAACTATGTATTAATTTAGAGCCTATATTAAGGATTTTAAACTTCTATATTCAAGTTTAACTTCAAGACCAAGAAAAAGCAACACAAGAGCTTATGAAGTTTTTCTTCAATTTAGTAAAGTTGCAGCACAAGACTATAATATTTACTGAGAAACAAGTCCTATTATATTCAATGGAACTTTCTGCCATGCAAGAGTGCAAAGAACTACAGCCTTTAATTTTGTGATATATTGTGCCCAAAGGTACGAGTGAAGTCATTTGCAGGCCTGCTCATTTGGAAGTATAACTCAGTTCAAAGGAATCCCAGCATTGCAGATTTTAGACTTTAGCATTTATGTATTTTCTTCTACCATGTTTCTCACAAAATAAGGCCAGGTCTTTTTTTTTTTTGAGTCCCGAAAAAATGGCTAGGATGTCTTTTGGGGGGTAAATTAATTTCTCCTCCCCTGCGCACCAGCGCCGTTTCCAACAACAGCATCTGAGTCGCTCCCGCTTTTCCCCTGTCCCCGTAACAACAGGAAAAAAAAGATTTTGAGGTACCTGGGAGCACCGTGCGCTGCATTTTGGTTTAATCCCGAGCGGCTGGGTGGGCGTGAGAAGAGCTGAGCGAGCATCTCTGCTGCTGCTACCCTTGGTGCTCCAGCCTTGGGCTCTGCAAGTTTGTAAAAGTCCTGGTGCGCAGCCCGTTCCTGCATTCCAAGTGCCCAGGCCGAGCTGCAGCTGTCCCTCTCTCGCTAGCGTCGTCTCCAACAACAGCGGCAGCAGCAGTGGGAACCATGGAAGCGTTTCAGCCACTTCTCGGGGGGGGGGGAGATGCCGCCATAACTTCCACGGTTCCCACCACTGCTGTCGCTGTTGTTGGAGAGACGCTTGCTCGGCTCTTCTCACACCCACCCAACCGCTCAGGATTAAACCAAAAAGCAGTGCGCGGCACTCCCTGGTACCTCAAAATCTTTTTTTTCCTGTTGTTACTGGGACAGGGGAAAAACAGGAGTGACTCAATATGCGGTTGTTGGAGATGGCGCTGGCGAGAGAGGCGCCAGCACCGATGGAAACCATGGAAGCTACGGAGGCCTGAGAAGCGGCTGAAACGCTTCCGGACATCCATGCTGACGCCGCCCACCTGCTGACCCGGGTAAGGGAGCCCTCCGTGCTTCACCATGATTGGCTGTTAGGAGCGGCTGATGGTGAGGCATAGCTGCCCGCGGGGCACTCCTAAATGGCAAGTTCCCCCCCACCTTCCCCCTCCATTTCGCATGTTTTAAATCAGGCCTAAATTTGGGGGGGAGGGGCTTAATTTCATTTTATGCCTAGAAAACATGCTGGGTCTTCCTATGGAGGGGCGTATTGTTGGAGAAACACAGTACATATAGTTTGTTTCTTCAAGACAGGGTGAAGAGTAATGACTTGATCAAATGTGACATTTTAAGACTGTACCTCTGTAGTTGCCCCAAAGTAACTTTTCAAAGCAGATACTGGGGAATGAAGTGTTAGGGACTGCAGCCATAGAGCATACCTGTTCTGCTAAGCATTATCTATTTTAATGGGAGAGACAGACAGCAGTAGATGTAATACCTGGTTCCTTTTCCTTTCCAGTTCAAAGTGTAGTTTTAAAACCAATAGAACAGTCAGGACCAATCTAATTTAATTATTTTCAGTAGAATGTATTCATGAGCAACTACTAGGCTGCAAAGAAGGTTAGTTTTCCTCTTGCATAGGAGAAAAATCTATCTATCTCACTGGAAGGTCCTTGAACAAAAGGAACACAACATGTAGGATTCCAAATGATACCAGTTTTGCAAAGGAAGATTTACCAAATAAATAACTGACAATATCCTGCTACTATCTGTAACAAAACAACAAAATTAAAATACATTATTCAAATCAATCTTGATCTTAGGGAATTCATTTCTCCAACATAGTTCTCCATTTCAGTGAAATCTTCAATGCTTCCCAGAAAGGCATCCAAGTCGGCTGCAACATGTCAGAAAATCTGCACACAAAATAGAACGGTTCTATTTGCAGCAGCTAGTAAGTCTACATCTTCTCATGCAAAAAGCAACATGCGAGTTGAGAAATAAAGTTCTGCTTTGATATCATGGGCTCCTAAGTGATACTGCAATCCCTTACAACTCCTAATGCTACTGTACCTAAGGTCCACCTGTCTGCTTGGCTTCAATTTCACAGCTCAAATCTCAGCCTATCCTATTCTCTGCAGACAAAAAATTAGGATTGGGAAGGAAGACGATGACTTGACGTTTCACTCTTCTTTTTCTTGCTACTTCCTCCCAGCCTACTGTGTACACAACTTGACATCTTTATTTTGTTTGCAGAAGACAGTGCCAAAGTTTTATAATATAAGCTAAAGGGCACTGTTACCCTACCTGGTAGGTTACATTTCAATACGCAATCTTTATCCATTTGAAAGCACACAGTGCTGGAACTAATCTGAAAGCTGCATACAAAATGGGTGGAATGTGAATTGCACAATCCAATCTCCTTTTTGATCTATTTTTTTCCCTTTTCTTTCCTTCCTTTCTTGTTAGAAAATAAAATCAAGAAAGAAACGGACCATTTTTATCAAAAGTCTAAACTGATTGTTGATAGAGGGATTTCAAAATTAGGATAAGTCCCCCTAGGAAACAATAGCAATAGCACTTAGACTTATATACCACTTCAGAGTTCTTTACATCCTTCTCTAAGCGGTTTACACAGTTGGCATATAGCCCCCAACAATCTGGCTCCTCATTTTACCCACCTCAGAAGGATGGAAGGCTGAGTCAACCTTGAGCCAGTAAGATTTGAACTGCCAAATTTTTGGCAGCTGGCAGTCAGCAAAATTAGCCTGCAGTACAGTATTCTAATCACTGCACCATCATAGCTCCATTACACCACTATGGCCGAAGGAAGTAAAGAGAAAACCTTATATACGGGTAGCAAATGCTCAGCCCTAGATTAAAGTCTTACTTTTAAAAGGCTTACTCCAGATACCACTCTAATCTAATCTATGAAGTGTAGTCTTATCTTCATTGGCTCCCATGATATGGAATCTAATGTCGAAGAGGTTCAATTAGTTCCCATTCTGCCTGCTACTACTCGATTTTTATTCAAATATTTTTCTTAAATTCAATTTGCAAAATGTAAATTATATTTGGGTTTCAAGATTTGTTTCTTATTGTTTCTTCAGATTTTGTGATGTGATGTTTTAGCACAATATTATTTTATTTTGGAATGCTTAAAATAAAATAGTTCGAGAAACCTAATCATTTGAAAAGTTATCAGAAGGCAACATTCAAGCCAGTTTACGAATGCATATGCCATTTGAGGTTCAAAGCACTATATAATATTTCATAATTTCATTGTTTTCCCAGGAAACCAAAATTGTTTCGTGTTCTGAAATTCACCTTTGTAAATCTCCCATTCACACAAGTTCTGAATGCAGCAATTATCATGTATCAAATAATAAAATATGCCAATCAAAAGGACAATCATAAAAGAAGACTTCCTAAGCTCTCAGATCATAAATTACTGTTCTCAGTTGTCAAACAGAGTGTTAATCACATTTTTGCATGTTAATCACATTTTGCACATATTTAGTAAACTGTTGGTCAATGTTCTGTTCTCATAGGCTGAGGTCTATATATATCTGAATATGTGTGTGTTTGTGTATTAAGTGCATGGGGATGTGGAACAAATACTTCACATATAATCAAAGCAATTATTTCCAGTTCTTTAGAATGTCCTGAAATTGCAACGCTGATTCTTTCATTTTAAAAAAAGAGTTGGAGCTGTTTCAGCCTTCATTTACAAGGTTGCCCCAGAGGCCCAGTAAAACAAGCAGTGCAGCTTATTCAAATAATATGCCTGGATCAGGATGTGCCTAATTCAAATATATTCTTCTGCTGCTCCAGTTCCAACATGTTTTATGTATTAAGTTAAATATCTGAGTTGACATTTTTCCCATAGTGAGCCTCCAGATGATGATCTTGGCATAAGCCAATTGTCTAATACAACTGAACAGAAAGACTGGAAGATCATCACCTGAAGGAGAAGACATGTGTTGTTGTTTTTCTTTCTTGGAAAGAGTTTTGTCTTTAATCAGGCAAAGTCAAAGAATGAAAGGTGGCAATGGGAAGATACCTGACAGGATCTTTTTCTCATGTTAATATTCCCAAACCAACGTATTTCTGTATAGGAAAAGAATAACTCATCTCACAGTACATATTATTTATGGGGTAATAATCATAGTTAAAGGGGTGGGAGAATAGGAATTTGAAAGTGCTCCTTCTACTATGACAGTTGAAGTTTTCAAATACCTACTAGACATATAAAATCTAAACTGAGGTTCCAAAGAGTTCCAGTAAACTGTTTCACCAAGCATGAAATTATTCAGAGGAATGTGAGTTACGAAAAACACTCCCACACCCTGAAAGGCTAAATTCAACAATGAACCACTGATTGTTTAATTATAGTTTACTGTATATGCCATAACAGCCTGTTCCAACTCATACTACACTGTAAACACCAACCCACTTCTAGTTTCACTTTTATTAGATTGTATGCTTTTAGTCCCAATAATGTATTGGGAAGCTGTTCACCACTTAATTGACAGATTAAAGTACCTTCAGTCCTGGAACAAATCAAGAATCAATGTGTATGCATTTGTGTATTGAGGCCATGTGGCTGTGTATATGGGGATCAGCAACACAAATCATCCAGGTTTTCAGAGCTTGCAAAGGAATTGTTTATATGCACAAGTGTAGAAATTCTTCATGTAAGAAAGGGGGGGGGGGAAGAGGAGGTCTTCTGACCAACCTGAATGTAGAATGGGTCATGTCACTTCACAACTCCCTTCATGTATTGTTTCTATCAACGGAATGTTCCTTTTAAATTATTATAAAACATCATTGATTCCAGTGCAAATATACCTTTAGATCTTCAGTTTTCTTTTTTCTCCATTTCTTTTTTCTGCTTTTCTGCTTGTTCCTTTTTCAGCTTTTCTTCAAGTCTTTTCCTTTGATATACTTTTACCCCAGCAAATGCTAAGCAAAGAATTAAAGTTTTAGCAGCTAAAATGTACATTAGAAGTGGAAAATTTTCCAATGCCTAAAACAGAAAAAAAAATACTGAGTTATTTTAATGTAATAATATAAACCGAATAGTTAGAAAATGAATATTTGAATTTGTAAAACTCAAACTACTTCCTTGAAATAGCTATGATTCAGAAGGCCTTCGTAGTCATGGAATACTTATAATTTTATCACATTAAAATGCCTTATGAGGATGATCTCAGTTAAAATACTGTACAGGTACTTTATAGTTAATTATCTAAAAATTCTTTGCTTCATGAGGGTTAATTTGTGATGGTTATTCCAAATAGGCTCACTAAAAAGCTAAGCATAGAGAACCTCCAATAAAGGTTTTGCTGGCTTTAACATCCTCCATTAAAAGAAGAACAGAATGATTATGTAGTTCTTTATTCAAAAGGCTACAATTTTAAAAAGCGTGAAAGCAAAACACATGCATCAAATCCAAATCATGTAAACAGAATTTGTTCTTTATAGAACAAAGATAAGTGACCACAGGATAAAGTACAAGAACACACACACACACACACACACACACACACACACACAGAATGTGTAGTCATTGATTGAGATATGTTCTTGCACAGCCAGTCAAGAAACAAGATAAAAAGGCCACAGGAAGAACCTGTTACAATCTTTTTACAAAATCACAAATCATACAGTACGTGTATTTATTTACTTAGCATATGGCAAATGCATGGACTTATTGTGATTCAAATGTTAATGTCCAGTCCACCCAGCCATTCAAGGACAGGGAGGTCTATGTTGAAAAAAATCAGACATTGGGCCAGTGTAAGCTCTTGATGGACATTTGGACTCAATGTGATAGATATTTGTTGAGGAGCACCACAGTCACACTGAGGGATACAGACAAGACCCCACTTAAACAATGAGTCCTGGCAGATACCATGTTGGGTACAGATCCTGTTCAGAGTTGACCAATGCTGGCAAGGAAGGTCAAAACCTGGCACCTTTTTGTAGGGTTGGGGTTAGGGTTACAGTATAGATTGTAGTCTTCTAGAATGTTATACTCTCTCAAAATAGGTATCCATGTATACTAAATATACAGGATAGTTTCTTCCAGACTCCGTGACTAAGAAATCAGGAGAGTAAAATTTAAGATACAAATTAAAAATTCTCTCACCTTCCAATTCAGGAGCACCATCTTAATTCTGTATCACTGTAATTTTCAGCTTCAGATGTTACAAGAATGCAGGGCAAATATGTAAGATACTTTTTTTGTGAAAAGACACCTGGGGAAGGAAGAGAAGTGATATATTCAAAGAACCCATTTGAACCACAGATAAATGGGCAAAATCATCTGCCAAAATAGCTCACTGATTTGTTTCAACAGATATTCATTAACAAGATGTCAATATTAGTGACGCGGGCTTAATATTTAGTTATTTATTAAATTTATATAATCAGCCATCTTACCAAAAATTACTCTGGGTGGTACACAACAATTAGATAAAATAGCAAGTGTGAAAAACATATTAGTAAAAATATAAAAACCAAAAAGATACAAATAAAGTGAATGGCCCCTTCAACAATAGAGCCCTCAAAGCAAGTCTCTGTTACCCTGGGAGCCCCAGGTCTGATATGATAACCAGGTCTTAAGGGCTTATGGAGTTTCAAAAGGATGGAGTTGATCTCATTTCAGGGGCAGGAGAGGATGTTCCTATACATAAGAATTCCCAGCACTCTTCTCCTCAGATACAGAACATTCAAGAAAGCAAAATGTGTTTCCACTGAGTGACAAGATCAGTGACCCGGTGCAATACAAACAGCCAAGACTTGATGATTGGTGACAGGGATCAGATTCATCGGCAAATGGCTATTCAACGGTTATTCAGTTTAAGGGGGGGACGGGGACAAAAAGAGAAAACCTCACTGGCAACAATGAATCCGTTTGTTAAAATACTAGTCAAGTGATAATAGCACAGCTATATGCTCCAATCCATTTAAAGTTAACTGCATATAAACCCTACTGAAAACCATACTGTAGGGTGTCAATTACAACTAACTTGTTTTTAGAGGAGAGAATCACAACTAACTTCTGCTCAGTTTCTACAACCCAGGGTCTCCATACAAATTCCAGTAATGCTTCTTATACCTTGTATGTGCAGTACTAGCAGGGACCATTAATTTTAATGCTGGGAATGAATGCATTTTTAAACAATAATGATTGAATATATCATCAAATAAAGCAGACATACGTTGTTTAAAAGAAAGGCTACTATAGTTTATTGGGAATAAGTTATTAGACTTGAACAAATGCCAAACAAGTCTGCCCTTTGCATTAGGGAACAGTTTTAACTTGTTAAGACCTTGATCAGCCTGAATGATGCATCTCCCATTATAGATTTCTCTTTGGCAAAATATTGAAACTCAGGCCTCTTTAAGGCATGGGCACCAACAGAAGCTTCCTGCCATCATCAAAATGATGAAATGGGATAGTGCTTGCATTATGACTGCCCAAAACTCCTTCTGTCATTCTGATACCTCCCCCCATCCCCTCTGGACACCACAGTTAGATGGTTGGTAAAATGGTAGAGAGTCCCAGGGCATTTACTGCTTATTTCTCTCTAAAAACATACATCTATCTATCTGCTTCTAGATGAATTGAACCATCAGATTCTAATGGCCATAAGGCAGTTGCAAAAATTTAAGAAGCTACGCTTCAGTTACAACCACTAACTTGGCCAAAGGATAAACTATTCAATATCCTCCAAATTTGGTATATTACTTGCCAAGCTGGAAGTCAACAACTAAGCTTCAGCTTACCCTCCCAATTCTTAACCAATAGCAATCTACACTGTATGCACAATTATTAGGCAAGCTATATTTTATAAGGAGGAATAATTTGATTACTGAACAACTACAAGGCTCTTGGTCAATCCAAAATGTTAGTAAACTTCAAACCTGAATAACAAAGTTAAAGTGAGGTTATGTCTTTCTTAGGAGAATATCTATATGTGTACAATTATTGGGAAACTATAAGGTTGACTCAGCCTTCCATCCTTCTGAGGTGGATAATATGAGGACCCAGATTGTTGGGGGTAATATGCTGATTCTATAAACCGCTTAGAGTGGACTATAAAGCATTTTGAAGCAGTATATAAGTCTAAGTGCTATTGCTATATAGTTTTTATGAAGAACAAATTTTGGGGAGTAATACTTGACAAATAGATGAGTTATTCTTATACAGTAACTAACATTAAAGACTCTAGCAATAATTGCTTTTCATTATTAAAAACCCTATAACCTTCTTCTTTATGCTGGAAAAATATATTGTTACAGCCTTGAAGTATGATTAATTCATAAAGACTTCAAAATTATCTTCTTGAGACCCTTAGAACCATATAGACATAAGAGTTCCCTATTTATCTTTTCCCCAAAAAGGTCAGTTAGCGGGTTGATATGTGATCATGGTTTGTTTTCCTATAGCTGCAAAGTTTCTCCTAATAAAATAACAAGATCTAATGCTATGCCAGGAGTTTATATTGTTTATTTATTTGGAAGATTTATATTTCTGCCCACTTCACAAATAAGACTCTGAGAGACTTATATATATATCTAAAAAAAAAAGTAAACCAATAGCAAAATACATGAAACACTACAATATAGCCAAACAACAACATAGTCCAGTGCAAGGTCATTTCAGAATGTGTTCAACCAATGTTCTGGCCCAAAGCCACAAGGGGGAGGCAGGAACCAGGTTTCCAAGATCTTATAAAAAACCAACTGGGTCAGGGGCATCCAAATTAATCCACAAAGTCCTGTTAATGTAATAACCTAGATAAATAAAATAGCATTATGAATAATTGGTATTTATCTATAACCTAAAGCTATACAATGCTTCACAATTGATTTTCAAAAGATGTTTCATAGTATATGGGTACGCAAACATAGCATTGATCTACAACTATTTAAAGCACCCATATGTGCTTTCTGGCATCACATAGGAGATACAGAGAGCAGCTGTAAGGAAAATAGGCTGTTGTTTTAAACAGCTGCAGTTACTAGGTCCTTAAAAAATATTTATATTTAAGGCTTTTAGCAAAGACATAAAATAAAATGAAAACACCAGGCTGGAAGAAAGAAAGTACTGAAAATATATTGGAAAATATATGTGCATATTAATTTAGTTTTAAATAAATAAAATTAAATTTAGTTTTTCTTATGGCTCCATCAGAGAATGGCTTTGGCATGGCTGAGTGCAGCCTACCTTCAAAAACTTGTTCAGCTGTGTATCAAATGTTAGAACTTTCCAAAATGTGAAGTCCTTGATCAAAGTTAGCCCATTATTGGAGCTTGGAATATAAGCCAACAGGATAGTAAATCTTCCATGAGATTCTAATAGGGGAAAAGAAAGGCACAATGTAGATTGGATTATATTACCATTATGTGAAATCTGAGCTCTGAACAATTGTACCTAATTAGTATACTGATACTCCATATCAAATTGTATGGAAATCAAGTAGCAAATTGAAAGCTTCTTTTTTGGGTCCTGTATTGTTCAACATATTCTATGAGACTTAAATGATTAGAAAATATAAAAATTTCAGATCATGAAAACACCTTTGAGGCGAATACCAAGATTCAATGGGATCTTGATAAACTGGGGCAATGGGCATAAGCTAGCAACTTGGACATACTGCTACTATAGTGAATTTCTACCCTGTGCAGGGAGCTGGACTTCCAAACCCTTCAATTCTATGGTTCTATGAAGTAACACTGTTATTTGTAACACAAGTTGTAGGTATCTTTAGAGGAGTTCAGGCCAGGAGTGATATACATACATCTATATACATACAAGCGAAATACATGCATCATTGCAAAATCTCCAAAACTGTAAAGCCTACAAACTTGAAATTTGGCACATATGTTCCTCTTGGCTTCTAGGTGCTCACTAAGAAAGGATTTTTCGAAATGACCATCAGAGCATTAGTATTCGTATATTATTATTAACACGCTCTGATGCTAAGGAGTTCTACTCCCCCTCCCCACCTGAAAAGAAATCTGTTCCAAATGCAAAACACAGAGGAGTTTCAGTTTTAGTTTCACAGCAGCAACCAGATTTAGTACAGAACAGTTGAGCTAAGCCACGCCTAGGCTCCTTGCTATCTCCTTGCTCACACAGCAAATGCTGCTTCAGTTTCCAAACATCCCTCAATTCTCTCACACACTTGACAGGACGCTAGTCAGATGAATGCTGATGGATGCTGGTAGGCAGAGGCACAATTCCCCCCCCCTTATTTTCCTCCCCCAAAACTAAGCCCAATCACATAGTTTCCTAGCGAAGCATGGGTACAGAGCTAGTGTTTAATATTCATGTTTGATTGTGTAGCTTGTTAGCTAGTTTAGCCCTGTTGCCTTTTAATTCTTTTTTTTTTAAGAATTGGTTTAACTCTCACCCAACACTACAAGCAAATTTCCATATAAGGATATAACATACTAAACTGCTCTAATCATTTAATTTAGCTATAGTACACATATTTGCCCTCATTGTTTGATATTCTCCATCCTGTTTCAATCTGCCCTAACAAACTTTCTTGGGTTTGCAAGATATCCTGAATTAGTTATATGTGCTGATTTTTTTTAGATTAGCTACTTTATGATTCTGTGTGACTTTCAAAGTAGATATTGTGTATGTTCACACTAAAATAAACCCCAATGTGATTAACTAATTTGTTACTAGGCACAGAACTGCAACTTTAGACTGTGAGGATGTAAATATTTTAATTAGTAACACAAAATGCAAAGTTTCGTTGTAAAATTGACATTTATTTTGTAAGAATTCCATAAACATACAGAATTGAAGTCCTAAGAACACTTTCAGTACAATTTTCTATATTTAGAAGTCTATTTTGATTACTCCTCCCAAAACTTTAACCACCTCTTACATGAGATAAGCGCTATTTATTTCCGGAGAAAACTACATGGCCTGGCCTGGCCTGGCTTGCAACATACACCAACATACAATATTTACATCGATGATTCGGAAAACGGTTAAACCTTATGCAAGTAGGAAACAAAGAAAACTTCCCTTATGTCTACCTAGTCTGTATTGTGTAACTGAATTCCACGCATGCTGGTTCAAAATACGTGCCTTTGTGTCCAACAAACTTAACTCCAAATGTAGATTTACTGCTATGAGATTCTGAATTGTAGACCAAAGAATTTACAAATCACTGATCTTACTGCAATGTAAAGGTTAAAATATGAAACATAAGGTCCACAGCACCGTCGCTTTTCATGATATGCTTTCTGTTTAAATTAGACTTGCTGGTAAATAATCCTAAAACGCGGCGTAATTTGTTATGCAAAAGCTACAGTACCTTTAATAGCGAGGAGCCATTAACCACAGGGAAACTACTAGAGCCTACGATTCCCAGAATCCTTGCTGCTAGAGTCCAATAACGTCAGCAAAGGGGGGGGGGGAAACGTAGATGTTAACCCTTTCGGTACTAGTCCTGCGAGGGGAATTGAGATTTACTATTCGAATTGTGTTAACGAAAGGCTTCCCCTTTTACTATCATCGGTATTGAAGGCCTTCAATAGGCTCTAGTAGTTTCCCTGTGATTAATGGCTCCTCGCTATTAAAGTACTGTAGCTCTCTTAATAAAATAACAGATCAGAATAACAGAGTTGGAAGGGACCTTGTAGGTCACTAACCCTCTGCTTAAGCAGGAGACCCTATAGTACCATTTCTGATAAGTGGCTGTCCAGTCACTTCTTGAAAGCCTCCAGTGATGAAGAAAATTTCTCCTTATTTCTAGGTTGAATCTTCCCTTGATCAGTTTCCATCCATTGGTCCTTGTCTGGCCTTTGGTTCCTTTGGAAAATAGGTTGTCTCTCTCCTCTCTGTGACAGCCCCTCAAATACTGGAACACCTGTCACCCCTGTTCCTTCTCCACTAGACTAGCTATGCCTAGTTTCTTTTTCAAATTCCCATTTCCACCCGCCAGTCCTCGTGTTTGCGAAGCCGGCATCAGTTGCGGCCAGGTTGGGCCAGTGTCTCTGGGAGGAGAGCAGGTTGCACATCTCCACAAGCGACCAGGGCATGCCCAGCACCAACAAGGGCCAGAAGATTGAGGCACTGGAGAATCAGCCCTGCCTGCTTCTCCATCACCTGCCATTGCATTTACCTGCTCATGCCAGGCAAGGGAGGGGAGAGTGAGGGGCAGGGCCAGCCAGTGTTGGGACAGGGAACCACAGCAGAGGGCCCAAAGAGCCACTGGATCTGCAGGTTGCCAACACCCAAACTAGACAGTCCTGTTGTGGCCCGCCAGTGGCCAGCAGAGCTGGCAGCAGATTTGGACAGTGAGGAGGTTGGGGAGGAACATGGGCCAGTCCTGGAGTCTGGAGAAAGCTCTGAAAGTGCTGTGCGTCAGAGGCAGAGATGGGGCCAGGGCCATCTGACAGTTATCAGCTGCTTTTGGAGTCAGACATCAGTGAGCCTGTTCCCAGTGTGCACATGCAGAGAGCTGCCAGAAGACGGGAACAGCTAAGGAACAAGAGTTGACTTGGGAGTAAAGCCACAGGTGGATGGTGGATGGTGAATGGCCCTCCCAGAGGGAATAAAATAGGAGTGAAAGGAGAGTGGGATTTTGTAGGAGACAATTAGTTCATTTGGGTGAAGATCTGTTCTTGCATTCTTGCCAGTATTGTCTGCTACAGTGTGGCATCTGAAAGATATCGGCCTGGCAATTCTCCAAGCCTGATAAAGATCTGTAATTGTGAAATATCTTGAAAGATTGTTGGCCAGGACTTTGCTAAACTAAATGTTTAGCATTTAAATAAAAGGGGTTTATCACGACGAGGAGTCAGCTTCGTGCTGTTGGGGAAGCCTAGGTCAGAATAAGTCCATGACTCCTTGGGACATCATTTCAGAGATATTTCCTTGCTAGATTCCTCAGTGCCTTCAGCAGTGATAGAACTTCCAATAAACTGCCTTCAGTGGAAAACTTGGGAGATAAGTATTTGCCTTGAAAATGGCATATGTTGAACTTTTTAGCACAAACATCAGCACAAGAAATGTTTTGTGACATTTGCATTATGTTATAAACTGTTTTATAATAATTTTTACATCATAAAAGTTTTATCAAACTTATTTACTATACTTTATTTCACTTTTTTCTTTTCTTTTCTTTTTGAAAATTTTATTTGGGTTTTCACAAAAACAAAATACAAATAAAACATCTTTTTTGAAAATAGCATGGTTCCAGGTTATCACTTCTTCATACAGACACAAAACCCAATTTCATGCTCATTTTTATATTCTATTCCATATCTTATTACCATTTTATATTTTCTACATAGTTTTTCCCCTTTTAATTTTCTCAACTTTATTTTAATTATCTCATCTCAGTTCAAATCATTATATTTATACTTTGGTCTGTCCTGTTTCAATTTTATATTATCTTTTCTTATTAAACAAATTTTTCCCTGTAGTTACCAATTGGAGTATGACACCTTTATATCTTTTAATTTTATCCATTCAAACTCTTATTTAAGCTTCAATGTATACCTTTAAGATTATAGCATTCAATATAATACATAACTTCCAATCGAATTCTGCTTGGTACATTCTTAAAATACACACTATATTCTTAAAAAGATTGTGTGTGTGTGTGTTTGTGTGTGTAAATAAAACACACATTCCATTCCAATTCAATTCTATCATTAATATTCATTAAAATCTTAACATCTTTAACATTTCTTTTCAATTAAATATCATACTTCCTTGGGAACACTTATAAACTTTCCATAGTTAATTCTTTTTTTTTCATATTTCTCACTTATATTTTTATAAATCATTACTAATAATTAAAAAGTTCCCATTTAATTCTCTCAATCACTTTAATTCATTTATTTATTAACAAACATTCCACTACATTACAGTAAATATTTTATCCATTTTAATCATATTTTCTAAAATTATTTCTCTTTGTAATATAACAATGCTATCTTATGTACCTTTGCAGAATCCCTTTTGCAATTAAATTTTCACCCATTATCTCTAAACAAGCTTATGGTTACAATCCTTATATCTTTTCCCTGTTTCTCCATTTCTTGTTTCTGTCTTTTATAACTTCTTTTCCTTGCTTTCTTCCCCATCTTCTTCTCCCTCCCCTTTTTACCCTCTCATCTCTCTACTTCTAACTCTCTCATCTGTAATCACCTCTTCTGTTGCTTTCTAATATTATACTTATCTTTCAAATTGTTCTTCTTTTTGGTTGTTTTTTCTAGTCTTAAACCTTTCACTCTCTTTCCCCCCTTTTCTTTTTCCCCACCACTTAAAATTATTTGATCATTAAGGATGGCTTCTTCTTTGTCCCAATCTTCTTGTTCTGCAAGCGTTTCTTGTTGTTTCTCATAGTTCCAGATCTCCATTTCTAAGAATTGAAATACGAAGCAAAAAGAACCTCTCCCTTCTTGTGCATCTTCTTTCCATTTTTTAAGTTCCATTTTCAGTTCTTTTAAGAATGATACCATTTTAAAGACTTTTAAACAGCCACCTGGTTAATTTTAGTCATCTAGATGCAAAAACCAAAAATCACCAAGTAATCCAAATAATCCGAGGCTGTTTCTTCTTGCTTCTTTTTTCCACTTTCTCTTCCTGGGGTTCTAATATTTTGTTACCAAAATGGTAACTTTTTTCTTTTCTAATATTTGTAATTTTTATCTTGTCAAAAAAATCAATTAAAATTATATTTTTTAAAAAATGAAAATGCTTAAAATATTCAGTTCTCTAAAAGTAATTGCATTTTGCGTTAATTTATCCATATGTAAAAGTGGGAGGATCACAGAAAAGCCCTAGTAGTGATCAAACATTTGCACTGTTCATATTGATCAAATATAGTGCTTATTAGAGCATGTTGTTACATCCTTGTACGCCAAGCACAAGCAATTTTCCAGGAGTGCAAAGACTTTGCCAGGTTTTGGTTCCCCATAATCAGATCCCTGATTGTTTTAGGATGTTTGGTAAAAGGTGATTAATTTATGGGCTGAATGTAAACTTACATTCATTTACAGGCTGAATATAGATTTAAATTCAGGTACAGGCTGAGTATGGAGTGAGATTCAGAAAATTAGCACTTCAAAAAAAAGTTTGTTCAGCCATTAAATTCTAAAGATGTTTGCAGAACTCCAATATAACATTCTCTGCCGCACTCCAGAAGCAGAATTCAAATTGCTTCCTTTTTTTCTTTCTTTGCATTGGGAAATTTTGTTTATTAAGTGAAGTATAATTAATCACAGTGTAGACAGAATACTGAAAAATAAGAAGCCTCTATATGCTCTACTACAAATGCTCTACTACATATAGTAATAACCTTTATACATTTAAAGTATCAGATAAGAATAATATAACTACAGCTCAATGTTAATTGATTCTAAATGGATAGAATGTCCATATAGTCATAAAAGAATTGTAATATTACGTACAACAAAACTTCCAGTTATTATATTAATAAGTTCCATAGTAAAGGGTGGAATCTATTGGTTTTTCATCTGATTTACAGAAGCAGCTGATATCCATTTCATAAAATCAGTAAGGTAAAAGTTTCCCTTGTCCAGTTGATTCTGACTCTAAGGGGCGGTGCCCATCTTCGTTTCCTAGCCGAGGGAGCCAATATTTTCCAAAGATACTTCTGTAGTCATGTGACCATCAGGATTATAAGCTGAGGTGCATGGAATGCTGTTACTGTTATCTACTTGCATTGGTAAGCTTTTGAATTGTTAGGTTGTTCGGAGCTGGGGCAAGAATGGGAACTCACCCCATCACATGCTGCTTGGGTCTCAAACAGCCAATCTTTCAGTCTACAGACCCAAAGATAATTATTGCAACTTTCCTTTCTCTTCCTGGGTGGCAGATTCCAAGTGTTTTACTGAGCAGGAAGGGTCCAGTTACAGCTTCATGAAGCAGGACAGAGTTGGAGGTAACAGAGTTTTGGTCCTCTGGCTTCTTCTGTTGGCAGGTAGTTGAAGCACACACACACACACAAATAGAGTGGTAGTGGTGATAAAAGTTAAAAATCCATCTAAAAAAGAATATCATGGTGTCTGGGTAGGATCACCCATTTTCTTCAACAAAGTAGTCAATGTATTTTTTATAATTTGTTATAATTTATCTGAAGTATCTTCATTTAATCACTCAGTCTTGTAAAATTTCTTAAAAGAGTGCTCGAAATTTCAGAATGTAAACTAGCTTCCCTGATTTAACCCACTTTGTAATTTCTTGAACTGATGAAGATATCTAGAAAGTCTTGTTTTGATTCCAATATGTCATAGTCGGTTACTGCTCTGCCTGTAGATATTGAATATTTAACTTAATCTGATATCCTATCATTATGTATAGAATAGAAGTTGTAGCATGTTGATATTAAAGCCACTAAATTAGGGATCCCAGTTCTTCAATATTTAATTCAGGTTTTGGTGATTATGGACTACCTTTGCCCTTTGCTCCACAATTTTCATGGACAATGGATTTAAGATCATCTTGGAAAAGAATCTGGTTTTTTAGCTTTTCACTCCAATCATCCACGATGTACTGATGATAAGGGTCATTGGAATGCTCTTGTCTCTTTGATTTCACTGTGCTTACTAAGATTGCCACAATAATAAAAGAGAAGATGCCAATCATTACCATAAGATACAAAATTACATAATCTAAATTTTCAGCATCAACTCGTTCTTGCAAAGCATTTTGTTCCATTGTGGTATTTCTACGCCAATTGTTCATATAGTCAATGAAAATCTTCTTGAAAGTCTCTTCCAGAGAATGGGTGAAGTTTTGCAAAGCAGACATTTTTCAGTTAATTAACCTTAAAAACAAAAGTGTGTGTTAGTCATCTATGTATGGTAGAATTCATAAAAATGCACAATTATATTCAGAGAGGAATATATGGCATTTGTCTATAAAACATCTGTGACCATGCTTATTGGAAATTTTTGGAAATATAGTCCCAGTATAGCATGTTGAGCGAAGCTAGAAAATACCCACAAAAAATCCTGTATATGGAGCTACGTTTATATGAACAGAAAGAATGAACATGCTTGAAACATTTGCATTTTAAATTCAGAATATTATGGATTAACCATCATTAGGAATTAATTTTTGACTGTACTCAGGAACAGATCTTTTAGAGCAGAGGTCGCAACCTTTTGTACCTCAGGGACCACCAAACTCATAATTTTAGATCCCAGGGACCACTAATTCGTTCTGTGGGCGTGGCCTAATTTGTGGGTGTATCTTGGTGGTCATGTGACTGGCTTGGCATGGCTTGTATGTAAATATTATAAATATTTATATAAATATTGATTTTTTATTTTTAAAAAAGAGCAACTTTTACCCCAAATTAGGCAAAGCAGGCAGGCAGATTGAGTTGCTCACGGAATCACAGATTCATTCAGAAATCTATCTGCCATTAACTAGCTCAGTCTGTCACATAAAATTTGCTTGCAAACAAACTCACAAAATTAACTCACAACACACCATGCATGTAAATATTGAATTTTTAATTTAAAAAAAGAGCAACTTTTACCCAAAATCAGGCAAAGCAGGCAGACTCTGCACTGAATTTGTTTGCAAGCAAATCTTCAGTCCTAAGGGAGGTTCGCCTGTGCTTAGCTAGAAAGCAAGAAATCCAACCATTTCCTGCTTCCTAGTTAATCTAAGTCTCCCTGCACAGCAGAACAGATGATGGTCAGAAAAAGGAAAAATAGCAACTTAGCAGACAAGTTTGCCAGGTAAGGAGTGAGTGGGCGGGGAGGGTTCCCGTCGGCCATGTGGGTGGCGCAGCCTTGTATTTTCTGTGCAGCCTGGATTAATTGCTTTGGGGGGGTGCTCTGGGGGTGAGATTTCTCTGCGGCCTACCAAAATTTTCTTACGGCCCACCAGTGGGCCATGGCCCACCAGTTGCCGATCGCTGTTTCAGAGAGCTGCAGCAGACCAGCCATGACTGCAGATTGGAAAACAAACAAACAGTACCTGGCTTGATATTAAAATGGCCTTGAAGTTAATTTATTATATTTGCAAAACTTCATTGCAGTGCCAACTTTGACATTGTTGTAAACATTTTCACCAAATGAAGTTTAACATTTTGAGAAATTTTTAAAAAGACTTTGAAATTTTACAGGCTTCAGGAATTATTTAGGCTGTAACCATATATTTTTCCAGCATAAACAAGGTTATAGGGTTCAACAATGAAAAGCAACAACTGCTAGAGTCTTTAATATGTGCTACTATATAAGAATAACTCATGTATTTGTCAAGTATTACCAAAAAAGCTTTGTTCTTCATAAAACCTATATAGCAATAGCAATAGCACTTAGATTTATATACAGCTCCACAGTGCTTTACAGCCCACTCTAAGTGGTTTACAGAGTCAGCATATGGCCCCCAACAATTTGGGTCCTCATTTTACCAACCTCAGAAGGATGGAAGGTTGAGTCAACCTTGAGCCAGTGAGACCCGAACTACCACACTGCTGGCAGCTGGTGATCAGCAGAGGTAGCCTGCAGTACTGCATTCTAACCACTGTGCCACCATGGCTCATGTATTCTTAATTATATAATAAAGAATTATATAATTATAATATGTTATTCTTGTATATTCTGTAATTGAAATATACCAATACATTTTAACTTATAATTTTATTTTGATAAAACAATATATTAATGCTCAAGTTCTCCAGGCTAGAATATCTGACTGGGCACTTTAAAATGTCATAAAAGTGCTTTGAGTCACAAAATTATCAATTTTACACATGAGAAAACAAATAACTTCAAGCTTTTCTTGAAAAACAAGATCTCATAGCCTTAATCACAATTTATAATAGTTGATAAGTTTAGCTGATTTTGCCATATTTGTTACGTAAAGTATATTCTTAAAGTAGACACTATTTGTGAACACACTGGGAGTTTTTCTGATCTCTGAAATATTTTATAGGACCTTGTCTGTACTAGCTATAATGTAAGTATAATGAAGGATCCTTGCTTTACCCATTGGGACATTTTGGAAATGGTATAAGTAGTATTTGTACCAGCCACATCTATGCAAAACCACTATCTGAGAATGGAAAGTGTAATAAAATAATTCACTCTGGTTTTCTATGGTATGTAGTATATGGCATATTCTGCTGGCAATTTTGTATAGGTCATAGACTGTCACTTAATCGTTGGCATAAATGAGCTATTTTATCTGCCCAATTAAAAAGCAAAGAAGGAACCTACTGATGTATGTCCTGCAGTTGGCCCTTGAAAATGTTGTCTAATCTAATTGTAATTTAAAAGCTTTAAAAGCTCTTACTGAATATCTTGTTCCCTTCCCCAACCTTCATTTCACTTTGCCATTTATATTTCAGTTGTTGGACTATTAAATAGTTGAAAGCCAGTAACGCATTTCATATATTGGGTTAAAAGGACATGTAGTCTCATTCAAATGGAAATCAGTGGAGCTGAACATCATAATGAATAAATTTTCAGTTGAAATATAAGAATGACATTGGCTTAAGTATGAAGGAATTAGAATCTAACTCATTACATTCTTTGCTTAAGCATTTTATGAATTCTAGTTTCACATCTCAAAACTTTGCTCAGTTTTTTTGTCTATCCTGACTCAGTATACTATTTTTCTTGCTTAATTTTAAATTAAAGTTAACAAATTATTTAAGGAAAACTAGTTATTTTTATCAAAGACTTACCTCTTCTGGATTTTTTCTGCATAAAAAGTTCTCAGTAGCAAAGAACATGTATGAATACTGTTACGATATTCTTGAGGAGAACTGGGAAACCATCAACCAGAAGAATCCATCTTGTTCTATGAATAATTGCTTCATTGTAATCTGTCTTTAAAGTAAATGTATTCGTACATTTAATCTCACTGGGAAGTTAAATATTGGCTTACTCAACCTTGATGCTTTGGGCCTGTAAGTTATTGGAATATAAAAATTTAAAGTTACAGTTATGTTTTTACACTCAGCAGTTTTGTATTAGACAATATCTCTATTGAAGTTATAATAACATGGCTTATAATTGAAATTGTAACTTTCAGTGGGAAGAAAGTAACTTTAAAAATAAAACAGAAGGATGATCACATTAATAATCTTTTTCTTTAAAAGAAGTCTTTTTTTACACTAAACTGTCTAAAGCTCTGCTTCTGCAATGCACTGTTTTTAGACAAATATATGAACTCACATTACTTCATCCAGTAGAGTTACTGGTTACATGAACTTTTAAAAATGTGAAGTTTTCTGGACAGGACATGGCCATCAAATTCCAATTTCTTTCAAGCAGCTACAAAGCAAAGTTGGGAAACTTTGACGGTTGAAATTTCCTGGTACTGATTTACTTCTTACTTTTTCAAATGGGCTTTACCCATTGAAAATTGCCCTTTTCAAATGGAGAAAACAAAATGGGATTTGTCAAGGGTACACCATTCAAAGGCATTTTGTCTTTTCTCTTTTGATACATTTTCTCTGCAAGAAAATTACAGAAGATGAAGTGGAGGGCTGCAAACCTCTGGACCACTCATAAGAGTAGGTGAATAGAGATAGTCCTTGACTTACAACAGTTCATTCAGTGACCATTTGAAATTGCAACAGCACAGAAAAAGAGATTTATGACCAGTTTTCACACTTATGACCATTGTAGCATCAAATTCAGATGCTTGGCAACTGACTCATATTTATGATAATTGCAGTGCTTTGAGGTCATGTGATCACCTTTTGTGACCTGAGAAGCAAAATCAATGGGCGAACCAGATTCACTGTGTAACTGTCATAACAACTGCAGTGATTCGCTTAAGAACTGTGGCAAGGAAGTCATAAAATGGGACAAAGCTCACTTAACAAATGTTTCACTTAGCAACAGAAATTTTGGGCTGAATTGTGATTGTAAGTTGAGGACGGCCTGTACAGAAGATTGATTACACAGTCTTAGTAAAAGGTTCAAAAGGTTTGGATGGAGATCTTTTTATTCTCTATCATGATCTGCTAAGTTTAGCTCAGTTCCAGCTAAGCAAAGAAAGGATGGCTATATAGGTAGTCCTCGACTTCCAATTACAATTCAGCCCAAAATTTCTGTTGTTAAGTGAGACATTTGTTACATGAGTTTTACCCCATTTTACAACCTTTCTTGCCACAGTTCTTAAGTGAATCACTGCAGTTGATAAGTTAGTAACATGGTTGTTAAGTGAATCTGACTTCCCCATTGACTTTGCTTGTCAGAAGGTCATAAGTATGAACCAGTTGCCAAGCATCTGAATTTTGATCTCATGATCATGGTGATGCTACAAAGGTGGTCTCAGCTGATAGTGCTTATAAGTGTGAAAAACAGTCATAAGTCACTTTTTTCAATGCCATTGTAGCTTTGAACAGTCACTAAATGTACTGTTATAAGTTGAGGACTACTTGTAGTTAAAGGATTAGTAGTTAAAGATAGGAGCACACCGGCTTTTGCAATCTGAGGCTGTCCCTGGCTTTTTAAAGACTAGAAACCATATCCCATCAGATAATCAAGACTGGAGCAAAACCTTCATTTTATTTAATTGAATGGGGGGTGTGGGACTCATTTTTATAAGAAGAATAGTGCAAGTTCTCCAGCTTCTTCTGAGAGAAAATCAGTCAGAAGAGATTTCCAAGTTGGGGGTGTGTGGACAATGAAGATGTCCTTAATTATTACATTAAAAGGTGCAACAGTATTTTAATAACACTTTTTAAAATGAACTGCAGCCATCTTGTTGATTTCAGTAACACTTGTTTACACGAATTCAAAGCTTGGCAGCATTTTGCATATTCTCACTCTAGGTCACTCTCACTTAAAAGCTACCATTTTCACTTGATATTTTGTACAATTGAATTAATGGGCTTATATTTCAAGATGAAGATATCAAGGATACATTTTAAGACTTTCTTTAGACATCATATTGTCCCGCCCCATCTTACACCACGCAAGCCTTCTAAAAAGAGAAATGTTTCAGGGGACCTTTTGATTGTTTGTTTGTTCATTTTCAATGACCTCTTGTGACTGGTAGTTAAAGACATGGTCCAATACTCTTCAGAATGTCGGAAGTATTATTCAAATTAGTACTCCAGGCTTCTAATTTATATATTTTTATTTAATTGTTAGAATTTCAGGAACATAAGGCATTTTACAAAGGATGTTTTTCTGCAGCCTTCCTTTCTCCATTCCCCCCATAATAACAACAGTGTGAGATAGGTTGGGCTGAGAGAAAGTAACTAGGCCAAAGTTTTCCAGTAAAGCTTTGGTGGGGAGGAAGACGGATCTGAACCTGGGTTTGCCCTCTGCCAATCAGTGCCAACCGCTCTTGGCACCATGCAAATACTTTTCATATGAGGAAAGTACCTCACCAGAAGATTAAGTAAGCTTTCAGTAAGATTACAAGAGTTTATTGACCAAACCTGTCACTTTATAACCTTATCAAAACCTTTGGCTCGTTAAAAAAATCTACCTGTTTTCAAAAGAGAGAAATATCATTCCAGCATGAAGATTCTAGTGTTCAATATCAAACAATGCTACGTTCAACATTTATTTTATTCTGAGCTGTCATACTTATGCTGCCATATTCCCATTTCCTTAGGTTTGCTTGTTTCTTTCCCACATTAAGGTAACTCATATGGGCATAGGATGTATGCTTGGAGTATGTATTCTTTGAAAATGGCTCCAAAGAGATGCCTTGGAATTGTGGGAAGGGTTGTTTTGGCTGTGGTGTATTTGAAACCATTGCAAAGATGGGTGTTAAAAAAAAAAGATGGTGGCTCATTTTCCCACAGAGAGAGCTCTGTTCCATCCTTTGTCTTGGTTTCTAAACATTAAAGAAAATGTTTCTCCAAGGCTTTATCTGCTGCTCTTTCTCCCTCAGTAATGTAAAGGAAACAGATGGGTAAAACTGACAGTTTTTCAGTTTCCCCTTTGTTCCCAACAGAGGAGCAGCCAATTTGCAAAATGCCAAATGATATTTTTCTTCTCTTTCTGTTTTTTTCTAGGGAGGTAGATGAACTTCCAAAAGCTTAAGGCATAAAATGGCTTGTGCTCCATGTTATGTTACCAGAAGTGAAGACAAACATGTCTTACCCTTCAGAGTTCAGATCACTTCGAAACGCTTGGGCAGTGAACGTGATAGTGGTAGAATATGTAGGCTTGAGTTGTCTTGTTGCTATTGCTAAATAGTAAGAATTCAGGACTATACTAAATTAACTAATGATATGATCCAAATCTGCTTGATGATCCAAATACGTCACTTCATTTTTATGGCCATTTTTTCCTTGTAATGATTACCAATTACCAAAATAACACAACTGGGCAGAAACCAATGTTTCTCTGGAATCTCCAATAAATTCTGAAAAACTCACAATACATTCATAATTTTTTTCCCCTCGTGGAAAAGTGTGGGTGAAAATTCCATGACAATTCACAGTATTTCTAACTACTATTAAGGAGATTAACAATATTTTACTCTTGACAACTTCAAAACCGGTACAGATTTAGATATCTAGCAAGGTTTCCATATTCTATTGATACTGCAAAACACATCTGGATGAAAAAACAGGATTAGATTAGAAAATAATAAAAATAGTAAAACGCTTTATAAAATGAGGAAGCTCAAGCTCTCTTCACATGTTAAACCTATGAAGGAGCCATAGTTGTTGAAAACTATGGATATATTATCTATTACTGTCCCCACAAGTATCCCAAGTCATGCTATAATTCCATATAGATTTCATTGCTTTAAGACGATGAGGAAACTTCCAGCAGAAATCTACAGTTTAAAAGCAGCTCTGCCTTTCTGTTGTTGTTTTTGTATTTGTTTTTGGTAGCAAATACTAGAAGTTTAGTTTCAAAGAATAGATGATGTACCAGTCCCAAATCAGGAACATCAGGTGAAAAATTGTGAAAAGGAGAGAATATGGTCTATGTCAAAGCCATAGGCATCTCTTCGTAACTAAACTAATGACAAAATAACAAAATGGGCATTATGATGTCATAACACATCTCCATCTTTTCATACGTGCATTATGGTAATGCATGCAAATATATAGGAATGGAATTTACTAACTAAAGGCCATGGAAACAGCCTTTAATAATTCTGCAATACAGGCTTCCCCTGATTATATCTTCCTTTTTCTCTAGCTTATATAGACAATGATAGGAATGGCTCCAAACATTTGGAGGATCTTCTAACCTGAGAAAGAGCCAGTGTTATCAGGAATAATAATTGGAGTTAAGCTCAGTAGAATGAGCTGAATGAACTGTGTCAACACTTGTAAGATATGAGAGCCTGTTCCTGTTATAGTTTTTGAAATTCTCAATAACCTTGGCTTGGAATGTCCTTATACTTGTCTTTGCCTTGGCAAGTCTTAGCAGACAGAATAGAAACACGCTGAAGAGGTCACAAGAAAACGGAGAAGCTTCCAAGTTTCTGTAGTGGCAGCAAGAGAAAAAAAAGCAACACATGATGCCTGTCACACTGCCCCTCCCCAATTTCATCACTGTCATTGTTTCTGCCAAAGTCATAGTACAGTTACATCCAAGGCATTTACAATGGTCTAGATGGCATGTCAGAAGCAACAATATTGTTGCAGAATATCGTAGTGCAGATTAAGGTAGCTATGAATTTTTGTGACAATAGGAATATACGGTATGTGTTTGTATGTACATACATACACACACACACACACACACACATACACAGACTCATTCACATTATTCTTTGACTTTGGATCAATTCTCTCTAACCAAACAACAATTTAGCAACCTACTATATCACTGTTCTACCATTAAATCCTAAAAACAATTCAGTCGTAATTAAGTCTAACCATTCATTGTCCCAT